GTTATATCTATGCCATAACTTTCTAGTTTCATGAGGACATCTGATTTTAAATTGACTGTAGAAAATCAGTTCAGATGCCTTAATATTGACATCTAATGAAATTTAGGATAACCTGGGGTATCTTGCTTGCCACCTGCCCATTCAGAAATATTCAGTTAGGTCTTGTGCATTATATGTATGTCCTAGGGCATAGCAAATACAATTGGGCCCTGTGTTTAGGTAATTAAACCCTAGATTTTGAAAGGCCCACACTTCCTTAGGCACTTGAAGTGAGATTCAATCTCCCAGCTCATTAATCTTAGCTAGATTTCTTCTTCCACATTCTAGTCAGCATGCAGAAGCACTTCCAAACAGTTGCTGAAATAGACGAATCCCTAAGAGAGGTGCAATGCCAGATGCCAGAATGTCTCCACTGATTATACAGGTATCCCAAATAGGTGGCTCAGAATATCGATAGGACTCAACTTTCTCCTAATTTTAGATATCTACATGCACATTCAGCATTTTGATTCTCATTTAGTCACTGGATTTCCAGTCATTAGGACTTCATTCAGTTGCTCAAGTTTATATATCTACTGTGTGAAGAGGTCTCTTGGACATGCTCTGGGAAATCTTTCAGTCCTTTTCAAAAGCTTTGATTAGTTAGAATATTTCACAAGGGGCAAGACTCCTACCTGTGAACAATTAATTGAGTCTGAGTATTTGGATTCTACGAAGCTACTCAGTTACCGTAAGTCTGTAATTTACTTGCCTAAACTTACTCCCCCTTAGAAGTTCTACAATATCTGAGACAGCCACATAGGACGCATGAGACACAAAACAGATAGAACTCCATCCTTCTGGCATGACAGTGGAAGACCACCCAGAATATGGTAGGACATCTCAATTTGCAGTAGATATTTATCTTTAGGCAAAGGAATCCCATCCTAGCTGACTAACATTAGCTGAGAAGACTTTAATTATTATAGTATTCTGTGTTTGGATAGGATTGTTTTGGCTAGGACATCTGTAACAGACAAGCTAAGTGAAATCAGCTGAGTCTCTGATAATAAAATAAATTCGTTCAGCGCAGATCTTTGTTTCTTTCAGCATGGATTGGTCTGCACACAAACTACGAAACTGTTTCCAGAAGATAGGGATGTTTATGAAAAATATCTGTTGAAAATGGCCCTTAGTTTATGATAAGTTTCATAAAATCATATGAAGATCTTAAGTTGGAAGGACTATTAAGGGTCTTCTAGCCTAGCTCCCGACTTATCACAGGACTACCTAAAAAAATAAATTATATGGCTAAGGGCATTGTTGACTAAGGGCTTCTTGGGCTCTGACATTCTCTTTACCATGACAAACCTCTTCTGTGGGAAGCCTGTTGTAGTGATGACCACCCTTTTAGGGAGGAATCTTTTCTCAATGTCAAATCTGAACTTCCTCTGAGATAGCTTCATTCCATTTCTTTGTGTCCTATCACCAATGACCGAAGAAAGTAGATCAGCACATTACTCTACAGTGCCCTCCTTCAAGAAACTGTAGTGTGTGATGAGGTCAGCTCTCAACCTTCTCTTCCCAAAGCTGAACAAGCCAAGTGACATTACCAGCTGCTCATAACTCTTTCCCTTGCGGCCTTTCAACACCTTGATTATTTTCCTCTGGGCGTGCTCTAATACTTTGATGTTCTTCTTGTGTTGTGGTGCCCAAAACTGCACACAGGACTTGAGGTGAGGCCACACCAGTGCCGAGTAGATCAGCAGAGTCAGATCTTTGTCCAGCTTGTGATGGACCTGATGCACCCAGGACATAGCTGTCGCTTGTCCTATGAGACCTAGGGGACCCAAAAATGTGTGTATTATATTTAATATTTTCTGTACATCATCTGCAACCTGTTGTAGTGTCTCTTTAAGACTCAGCAACCCAGGAAAATAAACAGGAGGGTTTCACCCTGGTTCAAGGAAAGGAGGGGCCTTGGGTCACCTCACGTGGGGTCACATCTATGCCATGCTCAGCAGAACCATTTCTTCCCCCCAGTAGCACAGCAGTGACTCGGAACGGCAGCACAAGCACCAACTGCATTTATGTAAATACTGTTGCTCACATCACATATTTTCCAAATTTTTCATAGAATACTACCTTTGCTGACCATAAGATAAATAATTTCAATGTGAATCATTTCAATGCATGCGTTATGAAAAGCAATATATTAAATAATGCCATTTACAGAGCTGTGGAAATACTGAGAAGTGTAATGACTTCCAAATGTTTTGTGTATATATAAACCAGTTCAGATTGCTTAATGTTTAGAATTTGCCGGGATCTAACTCACGTGAAAAACAATGATATAGGATTTAAATAAATCAAGCAAAATTGTGCCAAGTCAAAGGGAGGGGAGCACCTAACACCTCAAATATACCCACCAACAACTGTCCCTCCCAAATCCCAACAAAAAACCCAAGTATGTTTTAGTACCACCAAAAGCATTGCAAGACACTTCGGTGAATGGTATAGATAGATGCTAAAGCTTTCTCCAAATCAGAAATATTATCCTGAGCATGAAATGCATGATGTTATGAAGTAGCATGGCATTTGCTACAGTTTGAGAGGATTAGTTAATAGAGATGTTTATGATGAATTAGTGGATTAAGGACATTTTCTTTCTTCACAGTAAATGCAAACTTAATTCAGTCTAATGATGGTCAGAGGCAGCTTCCTGATAGCCTCCTTTCTTTCAGTGAAAGATGATCATGATGTTCATTACTAAAATGTCCTCACATACAGCTGCCTGTACTGCATTGCAATAAAAATCACTAGAAGTTACAATGTTTTAAATAACAACATATAGCAGGAAAAGAAATCCTGTGAGATTACTGAAAAAAATATTTCACTTTTATGAATCAGCAGCTCATTGGAGAAGTATATTTGTAAGATCATTCATCACTGCAATGTACCTGGCAAACTCACTACTTCATAAGAAATATATGAGAGAAAGGATTGTCAAAATTTAAATCTTAAAAAATATATTATAATAAAATATATACACCAAAAGAGTAAATCAGTAAGATCTCTGTTAGTTAGGATAATACAGTGTGCTTCTTGCACTGCCGGATTTTATGCAAATTAATTTCCTGTATCCTAATATTAGCCTTACTATTTTGGGCATGACTTTTGGGTAAATGTGCTAAAGTATTATGGGAAAGATTGATAGCTGTTGTGTTCCATATGGTGTATATGGTAAATAATTATACCAAAAAGCAGACTGTAAAATTTATTGAAAAGAATGCATTCCAGATTTAAAATGTTATGTTGTTTTCTGAAATTTACAAAGAAATTTAACAAATTCTTTGTGTTTTAATTTGACTTCATGAAAATAACAACCATATTGATATCTTAAAGATCTAGAAACAAAACAACACACTTTCAAGACGATTAGTATAGGAGGCAATATAAAAGATGGTCTTCAATTGGAGGCCTCCGAAGGCAGATATGGAAAAATGCCCACCCCACATAGGGCAAATACAGTTTTATAAGTTTAGCAAGTTAGCATAATTGACAAGAATTTCCAATTAGAAGCAGAAGTAATAAGGCAGTTAGTCCCTTGCCTCGTCTTCCTCTGGAACTCCCCTTTCTTGCTGCTTGCTATAATGGCTGTACTTACTTTATGAGAAAGTGTCTTGAGAAGCTGTTTTAACCTTAGTTCCCAGAAGCAGCAAGATGGGATAGGAGCCTTTTGGTATGTGTTTTGTCTTTCTGTCTATCAGGGAAGGAAAAATACTGGAGTTAGCTAGGAACTGTATAACTGCACAACAATAGTCTACAGAGCTACAAATATATGTAGCAAAAATCATTTTAGCAACAATATGTGTACTAGAGTAGAGAAAAGCAGCCAGTTTGTACATATTATTTGATTCAATAAAGAGTAAAACCAACCCCTGAAATAATTTTCAGGCAGATGGTTTGATAACCTTATATGTCAAACCATTTCTTTAACCTAATCAAAATTCCTGTTTAAGATAAGCCAAAAAGTTTTGATCATTGATTCCTTCAATAAGGAAATTGGGTTTTCTTTGTAGATTGACATTCTTTGTGAAAATAACTAACTGGCCACACTACAAAAATGACAAGTGTCATTAGGGATTTGTGAGTAGTTTGATTTAATGCTGAACTATGATGTTAGTTTAGACAGCTATTCTGACTGTACTTCAGAAATGTTGGTTTTAAGGCATGCCAATTAAAATGATTCTGTCAAGTCTATTCCCAAACCCCTCAGTTCCCCTGTCTTGGCTTAAAATGTTCCGATTTTTGCTGGCTTCCAAGCAGGTGACAGATTCATGATCTTGTTTTTACCCCCATATGCTAGTGTACTTTTTATCGCACCTACCTTGTTAGAAGCAGGGGCAGGTGAGGGGATGTATTCCTTTCTAGTGTCTCACAGTGCCTATTGCACTCTACCTGAGAGCTATCTTGCACATCTACACCTGGAGACCCTTTCCTGCTCTTGGTGGAAAATGCATAGCTACATATCTACAAAAGATGTGGGAGAGATGGCAAAAGCGATTAAATCTGAGTGATTGAAGAATTAGGATACTGCAAAAGGCAACCCAGTTCTTAGTGTTTCCTTAGATTAATTTTTGGGGGGATTTTATCCCAGCATTTCCTGCAGTGCAATTATCTTTAACTGCTAAGAAGTTTTTGTCTTTCAAATTCTTCAAGATATACATCTCAGGACACTCCCACATCTAATTTTATTTTTTAATCTCTGAGCTTCTGTGGCCTTCCAAATGTTCTTAAGCAATTCTAAAAGAAAGGCCTTTTTATCAGAGTGCTAACCAATGTCATTCCTTTAAAACAGATTGTCATATCGCTATTAAAATTAATAGAATAATAAAAGACAATGCATCTACACTTACCCATTTGATAGAGTCCTATCAGTTCCTCTAATATAATGTATTTAACAAGACTGCATTTATTAAAATGGAAAAAAATATATACACACTTTTTTTGTCTTCCAGATTATTTTGCAATGTTATAGGAAATATTCTTCATTCATTCAGCTGGTATCAGCAGGAAATCCAAGCATATTAATGAATAATTAATGGAAATGAAGCAGTTGGAACAGGTATACCATTAAAATCAATAACTGAAATTATTTATGGACCTCTAAATAGGAATGTATGGGTAATTTTAATAACACTGTCCCATTTGATACGCTAAATATATAGAATATGTGGCACTGCTTGTCTGAAAAAGGTGTTAAATGATGGAAAGAGCAATAAAGTGTCGACTATATGTCTCAGACACTTTCAAAACTTCAGTTCTAATCAAAATACCTGGACTTACATTGATACTTATGGATACATCTACTCAGTCAAACAAGCTTGAGCATTCATCCCTTATCATTGGCACTGATTGAACATTAATTTTCTTCCTGATTTCTTAGCTAACCACCCCTTTCCGAAATAACTCTTTTAAGGATAAAGCATAATACATTAATGGGGAGTCCATGGTTGCCCTCAAAAGCAGAGGAAAATGGACCCCCCCTCATTCTTTTCTTTCCTCCAATACTTAGGCTTTGCTCAAAATGTCCTTCCTCAAGGTAAGGCCACACCCCATGGCACAGAGCAGTATTCATGCTGAATTTTGAACTAAAGAATGGATGTCTCCGTTGGACCTCAAATTCTTTTGAATACTTTGAGCTGAAAGACACACTCAAACACAATGGCAATGTGTTCTTTGAGTATGTTACCACTGAGCACCACGACTAGGCTCAGAATCAAGCGTTAAGGGTTTGGGAAAAAGCCAACAAGCTGGTCCTAGAGTAGAGAGGAGCAAGCCAGATGGTGTCACCTTGCCCTGGAGCCATTTAGCTCCACAGATACAGCACTGCTATTGCTAATTACAAGCCAAAGGCTCTGCACCAACTGGGTCAAGGCTCATCAGGCTGCACCGGAGCTCCCCTTGGCCTGCCTGGAGCATAGCTTTTAATTTGTTTAAGTGTAATGACAATTTTCTGATGACCAAGTACTTATTAACTCATTAATTTCACTTTGCTCAGCCTTGTAAAATTTTGTGGCATAACCCCAATGTTTATAGTAATAGTAACGCACTGATGACTTATGTGGATGGAAATATTCACTGTTGACTTAAATATGTAGTTTGGATGCAAAAAAGCCTGGTAAGACAGAAAGGGCTTTGAGAATGGAGCCCTGGGATGCAGGGTAAGTAATGTTATGGGACAATAACAAAAAGGGCACAGGATTATACTGGAGACCCGAAGACTATAAACCATATATGAACCAAACAAACATGCACCAAATGAGGAACTACATAGCAAATTCAAGACCAGTAACAACAGAATAGCTGACCTTCCCATCTTGCCTCAAATATCCTGACTATAGAGATAGTTATATAATATTCTTATTCAGTGGGAGTTTTCCATCATAACCTTTCTCATTTACTGTGAATAATTTTTATTTGTTTTATGCTCCGTAACAGGTGTTGTAACGAGTAGTAGCCTCCACAACTTCCCTGCCTGTAAAATCAAGCAGTAAGTGTCAAAGATTACCATAGCCCTTTTTTGTAGCAGACAAAATATATTTGTGAGAACTGTTTTCAAATACAAAAGTATTCAGACCTATTTTATCCATGCAATTCAAATAACTCAGCACAAGGGATGAAGGAGGCATTTGTTATCTATGCTAGCCCTTTTTTAGGATACAGCCCGCTGAAATAAAATCACAATCAGAAAAATCACAGCACAGAAAAACACTGGTTTCAGGAACACATTATGGCATCTTTCTATACTGGTATCATGAAGAATTGGTGGATTTAGGTTTGAGAGAACTAACCAAAGAATTTTTTATTTACAGGTGAATGTTTGGCAATAAACTATTAAAGAAACCTGGGATCAACAGGTGGGTAACTATTGTTGAGTGAGAAACCCTTTAGAAGCCAATTTATTATCCCCTATAAAATCTGTAAACAGATCATGAGCAGATCATGAGCTGACAGTAGATACACTACTACAGAAAATCCTAGTAGCATTTCTGGATAATAGCAGAGTCCATCAGAAAAAAAAAAAAAAAAAAAAAAAAAAAACAAACCATAAAAAAAGAAGAAAATAATAACTGTCTATTTTTCAAATACCAGATCTGATGAAGGTTGTATAACTAAAGTGCTAGCAGCTGAGCCTTTTCATCTGCAAAGTGCTTTCCAGGACCATTTCAAATCAGCAAAGGCTCCAGCATGACCTGATATGGCCAGATGTGAGCTTGAAGTTTAGTGCTTCACACTAATAAAAATTATAATTATTTGCCAAATAAAGATTAGGTGGCAGAAATATGATTGGAAATTACCAAGAAACAGAGAAATTAAAATATACACAAAATTAATCTGATAGGTTTTACTCCGCAGGCATATTGGACACAGCAAATTTCTAAGCTGGCAGATGTGGCTTAGATTGTATGGCTCATGTTGTGTAATATTCTAACTCTGACGAGAAGTGCTGAGGTTTGAATCTGAATCAGACATTTTGTTACTGACTTCTAATTGCTAAAAATATTTATGGCTTTTTTTTTTTTAGGGCAGACCATACTTTCAAATAAAATAAAATAGATATTAACATCACACCATTGTTAAATGTCAAATGTGCTGAAATTTTCAGGTTGTTTCTGAAATATTTCAGCTTTTGTCCTGGTATTGCCTAAAAAAAATCTTTATTTGATTTACTTAGTTTCAAAGTACAAGGAGTGAAAATATGCATATTTCCCTTTTCATTATCAAACTAGTCTTAAGGTGGATAATTTCCGCAAATTTTTGCTGTCTCAGCTTTACGTCTGTTGTCAGAGAGAGAAAAAACTGTAAAAGTGTGACTTGTCCCACTTTTCATAGCTATCAAGAGCTGAATTTGACATAGCACTCTATTTCAGTTTCCTGATTGTGAAATATGAATAACAACACTTGCTAACTTTAAAGAATGTGTTAAATATAAATCAGTGGTTTATTGCCTGATCAGATATTGTACCTGATAGCCCTGGGAACAGTCCTTGTGATTCCTTTCTTACTGATTAACCAGTTTAAAAATCTGTGACAAGACTTAGCATTTTGTCTTATAGCTATTCCTTGACTGTAATGAACTTTTATGTACCCCATTGCCAGAAAAAGAGACATAAATTACATCAATTAGTGTGATATAAATCTATTGTTTATTAATTTTTAGTAACCTCTTATGGGTTAAAAAGGCATCAATTTCACACGTATGAATTTGTACCTATGCACTGAGTCAGATTGTATTGCACCTCACTTTAATTATCCTCTAAATGAATTTTGTACTAGCATTGAGATGAGACATCCGAATCTGTAACTCTCCAGATGTTCTTTTTTTCAGGAATTAAAGTAAAAAGCAGAATACCAACCCAAGAACCTGCACAATGGGTAAATTCACACTGTTTTTCTGCAACAATGGTAACAAAATGAAGAAACATAGGAAAAAACCAGCCCCAGATATGTTGTTTGTTTCATAAAATCATAGGATGCATAAAATCATAGCATGCTCTACACTGGAAGGGACCTTTAAAGATAATCTAGCTCCAACCTCCAGTGCCACAGGCAAGAATTCTTTCCATGAGACCAGGTTTCTCCAAGTCCCCTTCAAACTGGCCCTAAATACTTCCAGGGACAGGGCACCCACTACCTCTCTGGGCAACCCATTCCAGTATCCAATTACCCTCGCAGCAAAGAATTTTCTCCTAACACCTAATCTAAATCTACCCTCTTTCAGCCTAAAGCCATTACATCTTGTCCTGTCGCTAGATGTCCTTGTAGAAAGTCCCTCCCCAGCTTTCTCATAGGCCACTTTTAAGTACTGGTTTGTGCTTAGTGAAGCCATGTTCCAAATCATCTCCTCATTAGCACAGTTTCCTGGAGAATCTGCTCCATGATCTTGCTGGTCACAGAGTTGAGACTGACTGGAGTGTTCCTCAGGCCTTCCTTTTCCCTCTTCTAAGAACAAGGGTTGTTTCCCCTTTTCTGCCACAACTTCTCACACATGGTGGCTAGTGGCTTAGCCTCTTTGCAGGTTCCTGCTTTGTCTGCTCTTTCTTGGTAGTCCATCAATTAGAACGACTGGCCAGGTTTGTCCTTGATTATTGTTTGTTAATGCTCATTTGCCAGGGTTTATGTATCTCCATGTTTTGTCTCTCTCCCTTTCCTTATCCTTCCGACTGAAAAAAATAAACACCTTCACAACCTACATACCCTTCCCAGTTTGTGTGATTGATCGGGTTTGCTGTCTTCACCATCTACATTACTGCATATTGGTCAGGTTTCTCTCTGTATATTCTTCTTTTGTGGCTCCTTTGACCAGGTACCCTTAGAGAAGCAGGCCCTCTCCTTACACTTCCTCCTTTAATTAGCACTTTCATGCAGGATGCAGATACCTTCATATTGACCTGCTGTAACTGGTGAGTGCCCACAAAAAGAGTGTTTCACATTCTCCACTTCCCACATCACCAAGTTTTTGATTCTGTCATCTTTTGGCAACAGTCGACTCTTAGTTCAGGGGTGAAGAACTATTTCATTGTTCAGCTAGACTTCTATTCCACTACTGCAGTGGGATAAGGAAGAGATTTCTAGTGAGATTTCTATCCCAAACCTAACCAAATCTGTCATCTGAATTTTACATGACAGAAAAAACAAATCATCATTTTGCTTGTACATTGTGTGTAAGACTATAGTGTTTTAACAGGTAAGAGAAGTCTTTGCAGCTCTTCTGAATTACATTTATAGGAAAAATGTTTTAGAGAAAAAAAAGGAGGCAAAGTAAATTCCATTACTTCTTTTGAAGTGCTGGACATATAAACTTGAAAATATATTTGTTATTCCATTTCTGTCTTCAAATCTTAGTATTTTGATTTCAGAAAAAAAATAGGCTACACTTACAAACTAGTCAGTGATATTAGGAAGTACTACTTTGCTAAGAAATTATATGTTAATTTAACCTTTATTCAATGGTTTTCAAATGTACTGACTAAATGAAATTAGCTGTCAAATTATTTTCTGATATTTAATATGTCCTCAGTTGCTTATGATTTTTTTCTGGTCCAGAGCTCCTGCTCATGAGTTATACCTATATAAACACAGAATTATTATAGAGTAAGAATATTACACAAATTTCCTGAAAATGGCTCCAGCTAAGGTGTGGGCCAACCAACTCTGTCATATTTAAAAGGTCACACATTCAATAGAGAAAACTCAAATAATAACAGGCTTTTTTCACCACTCAAGTTCATAAAAGACATAGAATATTTGATCCCTTTAGCAAGTAATTTCAACTCTAAGACAAAATGTTCTTAGGGCCGGTCTCTTACAGTAGGTCTCTTGCATAAAAGCTCTTGACTCTTGCTTCTCTAAAAAATTATTTAGAATACTTAAACCCATATATATTGAGAAATCCTGTGGCAAGTTTTGAGATGACTTTAAGGTATGAATTCAATTACAAAAATATATTTCTGTCTATTCTGTTTGTTTGTGTTTCAACTACAGAAGCCTAATAGTGTCACCAGTCAGTGGTGAGCGCAGTAAATAATTCCTTACAGTTCTGAATCATCAATTTTTAGCATAGTTTCAGTCCAGCATTTTAGATTTCTGGGCTAGGAGAGCACTGCAACCTTAGTTGTCTATTGAAAAGAATGGTTTTACCTCCTAAAATTATTTATGAAGGAAAAAAATTACTTCAGAGATTCAGCCTATGTTTAATATTTGGGATTTGGAATCCATCAAGCATGTTTCCTGGAGAAATGCCATTCAGGATTTAATTTGCTTTAAAGACTAAAGGCATAGGGCCAAACTATTTACTGAGAGCCAATTCATGCACATCCAGGCCTCCTAAATATCCATTCAATTGCATTACTCTCCCACTTCCTGGAATAGTTTAATCTTTTTTTGTAAGTGCAATGATGAAAGAGGTGCTGTGGCACAAAGAAGCACAAACGAGGGCCAGGATGAACAAGGTTTTGATACAGGGATAGGAAGAAAACCACATTTAAACAACATAATCCAGGCAGTTGCCAAGAAGAACTGGAACAGATTCAGTCAATGTCATAAAAACCAGAATTCAGAATGCATTTATAATTTAAATTTATATACTAATTGCATTTAGTATGCAATTTAGACACTAGTATGTCCTAAAGAGCGCTGAGCATCTTCAGTGTCCCTTTAAGAATAAACAGAAGTGTCCCAAATATACGAGTATTTCAGGACAGCAAACTGCCCTAATACAATATAACTAAAAAGAACGGAAACAACCCAACTGACGTTCCCTTCAGAATGTTACTTTCTCATATCATATTTGCAGGCTAGGGAGGGAATCCTAAATCTTGACAAACAATAGCTGTTGAGATGGATGGAAGATTGCCTTCCCTAAGGGCAGGGAAGCAAACAATGCACATGTAAAACATAAAGAAAACAATCATCCTGTCTCTCCACGGTTTGAAGTTCCTGCCCCAGGAATAGGACCTGCTGTTAAACAATGGGAATTTCTAACTATGCAAGCTCTAACAGCTCTTTTTCTTTACATCCTAGATAGCAGAGAAACACTAAATCTGGGATACTTTCCTATTTTCTGCTTGCATGAGAACTTAGTTATATGTAAAATACATGGACACTCATTGACTACAATGTCCATAATCACACATTTATGAATATTTAGTGCTCATTAGTAAATTCTCCATCCCTCTGGAGATTGGTTCCAAATGCTGCTTTCAAACTGTCTGTCCCAGATAAATTAATCCCTTCCCAAGATGTTTCTAGCTTCCAGCTTTTTATAATTTTATTATGTCTCCTTTTGTTTGGGAAAGGGAATTAGTTAATTTTTCAAGCTTCCCTAATTAAGAACATAAAATATGAAATATTATTGTCTTAGAAAATGGCCCTTGTGGTCATTTCTACAATGATTGTTGGGTGTCTAGCTTGTATTTAGGAAACTTAGCTCCTTCTGAAATCAGTAGCTGTTTAAGAAAAACTTTCTTCCACATTTCAAACTAAATGAGTCAAGAAAACATTTAAGTGCTTAACTCATAAACTGTAATTGACTTTTCAGGTTTGCTCTCAGGAAACAGTTTATTTTCTCCAAAAAAGGACATGGTTGCTGTGTGAACAACTGCTGGGGAAACCAATTTCACTGTATAAGTTGAATTTCATAGGGTTTAGAGGGGAAAATGTGATTTTTTTTAACTAACCATCATGTGCCTATAACAGATGAATAACGGAGGTAAATTCTTTTTATTATTTCCTCATGGTCGTGAATCTGCTCAGTTAAGAATGACCTTCATTTGCTACTTTTGAAGAGATAACAGATGGAATCAGTAGAATAAGTCATATTCAGATATACATTTAAGTGGATAGACAGAAAATTGAATGCAATAAAAGATAGGAGAAAGCAAAATGATGGGGATAAATTGTAAGATATTACAAGGTTCTGAAAGCTAGGAATCAGGAAAAGCTGGGATTAAAAGAAATGTGACATACATAAGAAGATAGGGAAGAGGAAAATATAAAAGACTCAAAGTTTTTATTCATACTAATTTTCAGGTCTTCTGTTAGCAAATTTGGAGGTTTTCATCTGTTAAAACCCACAAAAGTATCCTCTCATTTGACATTGTACTTCTAAGTATCTGCATACTTTATTCTTGTTTACTAAAAAAACTAATAAATAATATTGAGTAATATCGGATTACTGAACTTCTTAAATTATTCATAAATGACATGTAAAGAGACTTTTATTTTAATTCTTGGATCAAACCAGGTTTCTCTTCTTTGTGTAACTATCAAAATTCTCTCTTATTGAAACAAGTGTCCAAAGGTAATGTACTAAATCACAGATTTTTTTTCTTTGCTAGATTTGTGATTGTATTCATCTTTTAGAAAATTGAAAAAAAATTCATCTCTGTGGTGCTCCACCAGATATATTAGCATTATCAGTGATATGCTTCTTTAATGCTGTGTTCATATTGAAAAAACATGAACGTGAACTTTGTGCTAATTAGACACATGAAAAATCCAGTGAGATGCAAAGTGTTAGACTTAATGGTACCTCAGATTACACATTTTAATCAAAACTGTGATGTTAATACATAATGCTAATGATACCACAGAAATTAATTCAAACAGATATACTGTAACATACTACTAGGCTTAAGTGCATTTCTCTTTAGAGGTTTCTAATCTACTGCCTAATTATCTAATTAGTAACAAGTATTTCTAATTTTTTAAACTTTTAATGAGAAATCTTGGCAGTCTGAATACTGTTTTCTTTTTTAGCAGAAAATATATAAAACATAATTGCTACTTATGAGCAACAATGTATCTTTATCAATTTGTACCATGATATGTCAGGGCGATATTTTAAAGCCTATACTTGGCAGTAAAAGGCAATGAATCCATAACTTTTCTGTGACATCTAAAACTTCAGAGGGT